GCTCTTCTTCGCGATGGTCCTCGGGGAGGAGCATCTTCCGCCATGTTCTTGTCGCCACGATCGCATGCAAACTCGGGATTACGTAATTGCGGAGGAGCGTGGGGGAGATAAAGAATTTTCGCGAGGATTCGAGCGGAGAGGTGGAAATCGAACGAAGACGGGTGATAGGGGTTCTCAGGATCGGTTTGAACAGGTCGAATAGGTTATTTCTCCGTAAGGAATCTTCTTCATGGTCTCTTCGAAACGGTGTACCCACCCGTTTAGCTTCGCGCGAAATATTAGTATTTATACGCTTCCATGTCAAGGCTAGTATCCAAATTTGAAACGCAAGTCGAAGTCTCTAAATCCTAGACCCCTTGCGTCTGTAGGGGTCCTCACCCATGGTTATTGACGAAGTTGCCTGGGTCGCAGGTATCCTCGTTGTAGCAGTGGTGCTAGAAGGGTCGAAAAGAAAAAGAAAGGATGAACGTTTCGTCCCGGGGTCTGCTAGTAGACTCGTCAGAAGGGCTATTTGTCTGGCAGGCCCTGCCTTAGACAAAGATACTTTTGGAAGGTCGGGAAATTATATACATAGGAAGTGGAGGATTTTTACCAAGGACTTGCGAGAAAGTTCTCAATTATCGCTCTATTGGCGAGGGTGAGAATGATGGCCGCTACGAATCTATCATCTCTGACTATCGTTTCCTTCAGAATTGAATTTAATTCTCCATAATTGATCTCGCGAAATCGGTACCACGATGTGCGGCACGATCGTTAACGCGAAGATTCATGAATGAAATCGTGCGAGGAAACGACACCGGTTCTCCCTTGTACCCCTTTCCTTCATTGCAGGGTTTTCGTCGAATCGTTAAGACGACGTTGGAAAAGGGAAAGCGATCGTGGCATGCGGCTAATCGGCGCGCGTGCAACACGCGAAATGATTTGCGGCTTGTTCGCGGCGTCTACTTTTAATAGCAGCCTATCGAGCGTGCTTATTGTCGCCGTGACGTGAAAAATTCATACGGGGCACAAATCATCGTCTCGTTCGCGCGTCGCGTTTAAAATGCAGAGGGAAAACTGCCGGCGTGTGTTGCGACCCTATCGGGATTCCACGCTCGACAGTGTGTTTATTCGAGCCCCGGCTTACGTAAGGCGTGCCAGTTTGGTGCTCGCATCGATTCCGCGGTACACTTAAGCCTGATAGGACGTTACGAAAGGCATCGTGGAACGAACGCGAAGGTGTATGGGAGCTTGCCCCCTCGGCGTTGCGTATTTCCGCGCGAACGTAGAGATTATTCGTCGATGGGAGACGTCCTTTGTTCGCCGCGTGGTATTATCTAAGCGGTCGCGGTGAACCGCGACACTTGGGTGGAATCGTGCCAAAATATTTCGCTATTTATAAGCGCCGTGGAATATCTAGTATTCTAGGAATCTTCATTAGTAGGAATTTCTCAAGGTATATAATTTGCTCGATATTTTGGAATTTCGCTGTTTAAGCACCCCGCTGCAGGAGTATGCCGATATACGTGTATCTTAACATCTGAACATTCCTGATAGCAAACCGCTCAGGTACCTGAGCATTCCGTGAGACCGACATTTTGACATTGGGGTGTTTTAACATGGGACTCGCGACTGATTTCTCTCTCGGCGGACGTGAGTCTGACGAATAACTCGGGGTTCCTTGCGAGGAGCAGAGATAACGGGTGATTGTACAGGTTAGAATTTAATAGAACAAAGAAAGCATAAGATTCGGGTAGTGATATATTTGGGATATTGTAAACGCTGTACTTCTTCCAAGCGCACAGGATTGGATCTAAATACGTGCTTGTAAATCCTAGTATTTAAATAATTCGGGATCTAGGCTTCCAAAAATTTGGACCCATTTCTAAACGATCAATCGTATAATATACACCGAATAACAAAAGTTAAAGAAGAAGGTAATGATTTACGAATGATTTATATGTTTTATTTTCTGGGGTACATATATAGGTGTAAATGTATATGTAGGTTAGATAATTGTCGATTTACGAATGGGGATGCTACAATTTTTAAAAGATCAGGTACCAAGTTTAAACCTCCAGGTAGAAATTTGATATGATTTTGATTGTCCAATGCAAAATTTTCTTGTATCCTTATGGATCTTTTAGAAATAAAACTTATTTCCCCCAGAGAAAATTTCGGCACTACTACAGTCCCGATCGCGAAGGGTTAACTACTGCCCCACGCAAAATTATCTTATATTCGCATCAAATTTGTAGAGAAAAATAATTCGGTTCCCTCAAAATAAAATTTGACGCGATTACAGTCCAGATCGCGAGCAGTTACCCATCCTCTGACGCAAAATTGTTTTACGTTCCTATCAAATTTGCGAAAAAATAATTCGGTTCCCTCAGAGAAAATTCGACGTGATTACATTTCCGATCGCGAGGGGGTTAGCCATTGTTCGACGCAAAAGTGTCTTATATTCGCATGAAATTTGTAAAAAATAAAAAATAATTCGGTTCCCTGGGAATAAAATTCGACGCGATTAACATTTCCGATCGCGAGGGGTTAACTATCCGAAACGTTTACGAAATAAAGGACCAACCGAGTAACCAGTGCCGTTGTTGTTTCCAGCACATGGTGCAGACAGGCATGGCTGCGCCCTACGGTGGGGGTGTCTTCCCCCCGCCGGTGAACGGCGTAGCGGGTGTCGTCGGGGCTGCTGGCGCGGCCGGCGAGGTGAAACCACCACCCCCGGTGCCGGTGAAAGAAGACAACAGCGGGGCGCCTCAGCAGCCGCCACCCAGCGGCCCCCAGGTTCCTCCGCCGGCTGGTGCCCCACATCAAACCGCCCCTGGTGCCCCGACCGCGGCCAGCTTCAGTCCGCCTCCGCCTCCGAACGGCGTCGATCAACAGGCTATCGTAAGTTCCATTTGCCTTCAGATATCCTCTCGTTACTCGCTTTTAGTTGCTTTGCTTTTCGTTCTGGTTGTTCGGATTAGTCGCTGGTGTTTGAGAATCAACGTGTGTCTATGCTTATACGATGTATTTAGGCCGATAGGAAGGTAATCGAAGGTTCCAAGGTAAAATTTCGCTGTGTGTATCTACAGTCTTTGTAAGTGGCTGTCTTTTGCGATGAGGTGTGCAGTCTGTGATTGCAATATTCTGTGGTTTCGACGTGGTAAATACAGTTCGCTGTGTTCACCATTTGTTCGTAATGTAAACCAGACGTTCGCAAGATAAGGTGATTAACCAAGCAAATATCTTGAAATTTTAGCATCATTGTGCTTGATCGATGTTTAATTTCTGTATTTAAAATGAATTTATAAATTGGTAAATGAATCGGAAAATATGACAATCATCGATCACAATGATCGACTACCCCAGAAAATACACAAGTAGGACTGTACAGCTAGATATAATTTAAGCTTGGTAACTTTTTCACGTTAGTCTGGTTACACGATGTTCTTTGATGGTCGCTACAATTACACCATGTTTTACTTCATCCCTGTTACCGACGGAGGGTTAAATTTGGTAAAATATGACAGAGACAATTTAAATGATACTATTGTATATAACATAAAGGAAAGTTAGACAGTTTTGCTTTCTTTGTCATAGCATAATCAGTCTTTGTACATTATAATACTATCCCTGACCAAAAGCTTTTGACCATACAAAAATGATTTAAAATTACTTTTTACGTGTAAAGAGCTATAATATCAAAAGAGGTGTTTAATCGGTTAGATAGGAAGTAAAAATAAAACACTAAGGTAATTGAAATTTTTGTTTATTATCGAAGACAATATGATGAATGAATAAGTATCATCGAGTTTGATCATAACATTTTTTCCAGGGGTAGTATATTATATATCCTTGTACAGATTTGGGTAGTCTCTTGTACTCTCCATACAACATATATCTACATATATATAAATATATACCCATGTATATATTTACATGTACATACTCCTCAATGTTCAATTGCTATCTTAATCTATTAGAAGTACTATTCCAATTTAAATCGCGAAAGTATCATCCTAAATATGGCGTATCCCCAATCTCTCGATAAAGACAGAATATAATGAATGAATAAGTATTATTGAATTTGGTCATAATTTTTATTCCAGGGGTACTATATCATATATCCTTGTATATATGTTATATATATATATTCTTGTACAGACTTAGGTGGCTTCTTATAGTCTCCATATAACATCTACATATATATCCACCCATGTATATATTTACATGTACATACTCCTCAATGTTCAATTGCTATCTTAATCTATTAGAAATACTATTGCAATTTAAATCGCGAAATTATCATCCTAAAAATGGCGTATCCCCAATCTCTCGATAAAGATAGAATATAATGAATAAATATTATTGAATTTAGTCATAATTTTTATTCCAGGGGTACTATATCATATATCCTTGTATATATGTTATATATATATTCTTGTACAGACTTAGTTGGCTTCTTATAGTCTCCATATAACATCTACATATATATCCACCCATTTGTACATTTACATGTACATACTTCTCAGTGTTTAATTACTATCTTAACCTATTAGAAGTATTATTTCAATTTAAATTGCAAAATTAACATCATAATACCCACCCCCAAGTATCCTCAACCTCTCAATCCCCAAAATCAGAATCTTCATCCACCACGATTCATCAGGAAAGCAAACGATGCACTCACGTACACATTTTTGCGTGTATATACTTATATGTACAAACTCCTCAGTGTTTAATTACCATCTTAACCTATTAGAAATACTATTTCACTTTAAATCGCGAAATTATCATCCTAAATATGGCGTATCCTCAACCCCTCGATGCCCAAAATCAGAATCTTCATCCACCACGATTCATCAGGAAAGCAAACGATGCACTCACGTACACATTTTTGCGTGTATATACTTATATGTACAAACTCCTCAGTGTTTAATTACTATCTTAACCTATTAGAAATACTATTTCACTTTAAATCGCGAAATTACCATCCTAAATATGGCGTATTCTCAACCCCTCGATGCCCAAAATCAGAATCTTCACCCACCACGATTCATCAGGGAAACAAACGACGCACTCACGTACACATTTTCCCATGCATATACTTACATGTACATACTCCTCAGTGTTTAATTACTATCTTAACCTATTAGAAATACTATTTCACTTTAAATCGCGAAATTATCATCCTAAATATGGCGTATCCTCAACCCCTCGATCCCCAAACTCAGAATCTTCATCCACCACGATTCATCAGGAAAGCAAACGACGCACTCACGTACACACTCTCACGCGACACTCCGCCGAATCTAAATCACGTACCGTGACTTTAACAGGAAACGCCGTTCCAAACCCGTTATTAGCTCTCTGTCCAAATCGTTTTTGGACTTGGATCGAACCGTCCTCGCTTCGTCGCCTTTGCGGTGTCCGACAAAAGTTCCTCAGGCAAGCTTCCGTCGCGTGTAGGCACTCTCGATTATTCCACGCACGTGCTGCCGGAGAAATGGGCACACAAAGGTGGAGAAAGTTACGCGGGAGATATTCGCAGTTTCGAGAAACTTGGGAAAATCTGAAGACTGGAATTAGTGGTGGGAAAAGGAGTCTTCCAGAGACAGTTTTCCACTCTGTTTGGGTTTCTAGGTATTCCTTTCGGAGTTTCTCGGGTAACGATGTTAGTTGTCTCTGTGAAATATTCTTCTTCGTGATTGGAGGGTGGTTTATTTTATTTTGTCTTCCTACGATGTAATAATTCGATTAAGTTAGGTCGGTGTAAGGTATAAAGGTGTAAAGCCTGGGGTGGTTTTGATCGTGTATAATTAAACGATCCGTGGGTCTTCACGCTAGAACTCCTAAATAAATTAATGTTGCTGGATTCGAAGCTTTTGCTTTAATATAATAGTTACCAAAATCATGCAATGCAGTTGTTTCATCGTTACCTATATACGTATTTATCTGTTATACATACTATACATACCTGTTTAGGTTAATTATTGTTAATTGTGCGTATCATATTTCGAGGTTCATTCGATAATCCTAATATTAATTCATCCTTCACGTGATATATGCAGTTTCGAAATCTCCTATGCAAATGAACTCTGTGGTTATTCATGTAGAAACATGGCTGTAACGAAAAGCAGATAATTCTTAGTTTAATAACAAATATACTAATTTGTGGTGAGAAAATTTGATCTTGCTATTTGGATAATTGCAATTTAAATAAAACGACAACATTAACCCTTTGCACTCGACGACTTTTTCGTTACAGAAAAATAGTAATTCGAAGAATATTTCTGTCATACAGTCGACGATATTTTTAAAATGGTAAATGAGAAATCAGATGCAAATAAAAACGTAGAATTATTTTCCTTCGACATTCCACGCATCGTTAGGTAATTTTAAATTTGATATATTAATTAACGTCGATCTTTAGAATCCGATTAAATGGTGACTGAGAGTCGCCTCTCGAGTGCAAAGGGTTAATATATGATTAATTCGAAATACGAAATTTACTCGTAGAGGGAATAAAAAATTCCACAAACGTAAACGAATCTTGACACGATAAAGGCATAAATTTCCTGGGAAGAAGTTATAACATTTCGTTGTAATTTATTGCAATTTTACAGCGAGTGAACTCGCTCCGCTTTTATCGAGCATAGCGATCGTCGTTGAAAAACAATTATTAACCACGCGGATGCGCAAGGCTGGATAAAACACAGCTGCGATTAAATCTCCGGATAGCAACCTCGCTCTCGATTCGCGTACACGAATAAATTACAGATCACACGCGACTCGAGCCGTCCCGGCACCCCTAAACGCTCGATTCACATCCGCCCGTGCGTGTCGGAGGAATCACGCGTTACCACGACGCGGAGCCGTGCCGTGACGCGTTCCTTCCGCGTGCTTCGTCGACCTGATCAAACGAAATATCTCTTTCCCCCCCGTGGGTCTTGTTCGAGCGGTACTCAAACATCGCAGTTCGCCGCGCAAACGGTCGAAATTTGTTTAAGCGCGCGATAACTAGTCCTCGGCTGGCGTGCGCGTAGTCGCGGTAATTAGCGCGACTCATAAAGCGGCCTAATTAGCCGCGCTAATTAAAGTAATTCCGTTCGTTAATTCGATTTACTAGACGGCTCGCTGAATTTCGCGCTGCCCGAGAGAAAAGCGAAGAGAAACGCATAGAGAGAGAGAGATAGAATGATAAATCTATAGAGAGAGAGAGAAAGATAGATAAAATGAAAAATCATAAAAGAGAATGAGACAACAAAAAGGAGAATAAGAGGAATAATGAGAAAATACAAGAGTGAAAGGGGGGACCAGAGAGAATGAGAAACCAATGCAGAAAGGAAAACAGAGAGGGGGAGTGGCAGAATGAGAAATCAAAAAGGAGTGGAAGAGGTAAAATTAAAAATTATGAAAAGATGGAAGGACAACAGAGAGCCAGGGAAAGATGGAATGAGAAATCAAGAGAAAAAGGGAGAGATAAATAGTGCAAATGAGAAAACATAAGAGAGAGAAACAATGAGAATGAGGAAGCAAGAGAGAGAGGAACAACGATAATGAAAATGCAAAAAAGAGGGAGAAGAACAACGACAATGAGAAAGCAAGAGAGAGAGAGAGAGAGAGGTAGGAACAAGAAAAATAAAGAAGGACAATATAGAGGGCTGTTCCTTTCAGAGGAAGAGAAACAGGGAAATAGAGACAGAGAGAGAGACAAGGAAAATAAGGAAGCAAAAGAGAGAGAGAAGAACAACGATAGTGAGAAAGCAAAAGAAAGAGGAATAACGACAGTGAGAAAGCAAAAGAAAGAGGAATAACGACAGTGAGAAAGCAAAAGAAAGAGGAATAACGACAGTGAGAAAGCAAAAGAAAGAGGAATAACGACAGTGAGAAAGCAAAAGAGG